CACGAGTCTCATTAAGTGTCCAGTTTAAGGGTATTACACAGAAACATACCAAGGGAACATGAATCAAATATGCACTTTTATTCATTTATAATAAACTCATAAAGTACATAATTCTGATTGAAGCTAAGGGCATACAAAACTGTCCAACAACTACAATACAAGTTCTTGTTACTAACATTAGGATCGGCCTTGAGTCGAGGTGGCCACTTTACATACGGGGCATCCTTGATCGCCATGAGGATCTCGGCCCGCTTCGTGTTGAGGGGTGTAAACACCCTTTCTGCAGCTGGAGCTCGGAAAGGCTGAACTGGGTCTCCCCCTCGAGCTTGATCCTTCTTCTTCTTGTAGTCATTAGGAGCCGGGGGTTCCGGTTCCCTCTTTATTTTTTCGGGGGCGTGCTCGCCCTTCTAGTTGATCTCCTCCTTTGTTCCTATGAACCGATCTGCGAGCTCGAGGAACTCGGTCACGGTTTTGGGCTGGTTGACGACCACATGCCATCTGAATTCTTTGTGGGTGATACCTCATTTGGCCGTTGTAAGCTGAATTGCAGGGTCCAGGTCGAGTATCTGTAGGCAAGCGTCATTAAACCTCTGGATATAGTTTTGGATGGACTCCCCATCTCTCTGGACTATGCTGAGGAGGCTTTCTTGGGTCCTCGAGCATCTCTTGCTAGTGACGAAGTGGGAGGTGAAGACCTTCACGAACTGCACCCAGCTCCTTATTGAGCCCGGCGAGAGGTTTTGGTACCAGGTGCGGGCCACTCCTTTGAACGTAGTGGAGAAGGCCACGCACATGCAAGATTCACTCGCCTTGGCCAGATGCATATGAGACTAGAAGGCATCAACGTGGTCGTTGGGGTCAAAGGACCCATCGTATTTGTCCAACAGTGGGAGCTTGAAGTCCTTGGACATGGGGATCGCAAGGAGCTCCGGGGACAGAGGAGAGGGGACAGAGAGAAGTGGTGCAGCTCTTACCTCTCCCGAGCTTATTTCTATTTTTCCCTTGAGCTCAGACAGGTTGTGGACGGTGGTAGTTCGGCAAGCCCAGCAACGTCTTTGCTGCTTCTTGGCCGGCTCGACGTTGGTGCTGCTGGCTTCTATATTGCTGAGCTCGATGGGCCCAGGGGGAGGTAGGGATGGCTGCCGGTAGCTGTAGACAGAAGGACCTTATTCCAGGTCGTCGGCTAGCACCTCGAACCTGTTCTCCGCGAGCAGAGGCTCGAACTGCGAGTGTTGGGGTGACGCTGGCCTAACCGACTAGGAAGCCCCCGACCTGACCGTGGGCCGCGTGGCGGGGGTAGGGAGTCTTCCCTTCCTTCCGTGAGATGATGCCGAAGTCTCTCCCCAGCGGGAAGGGAGTTGACTGCGGCGCTAAGGCTTGGCTGGCTGCGTCGTCGGATGTCGGGGAGGGAGTGAAGGGAACTGTTGTTGGTATTGGTACTGAGATACTTGGTGCAACACTTGCTACTGGTGAAACTGGAGTTGTTGAAACTGCTGCATCTGGGCCTGCATGGCTTGCATGCACTGTATCAAGTCTTCAAGCTGGCCTAGGCCGGCCATCGGAGGGAGAACGGTGGGTTCAGCGGAGGTCGTCCCGACTGCAGGGGGCAGCAGGACAGTTACGGGTGCCACCGTTACGGGCACGTTCAGGCTACGAATCCCATCCGCAAAGAGGGGGACGGTGAACTGCCCGATGCAAACGGAGGGTAATTGGAGTTGCTCCTCTGGGGTGCTCCGGCGTTCGGAGTTGCTAGAAGAAGCCATGGGTGTCAATGGTGCTGGTGAGTAAAAGAGGGAAGTTTCGTAGAGATTAAAGGGAGGTTTTTCGAAGCGTTTCCCACAGACGATGCCAAATGATGCTGCACGATCTAGGCACTCCTAGCTGGCTGTGACCCATCTTCTGACTGGAACGAACGACACTTGAGAGGAAGGAGGAAGTGAAGGATTCCTAGGGAGTTATCCTGGTGGGAACACTTTGATGGCTAAGTTAGAACTTGAGAAAATCTCAAAGAGAGAGTAAAGGGTAAGAGTGCTCAAAGTGCTTAAGCTTCAATACATTTTCTTTGTGAGAGTTGGAGTTCTTTTATGTTGGAGCTTGGTCATACCTGGCATAACCGCCACCGCCCTTGCCGTTACTGCCAGGGCAGGTGTGGCAGGTACAGATGTCATGCTTTCTAGAGGAGGCAAACGGAACGCCGCCTGGCGAGGGATCAGAGCCCTGCCACCAGGTCCGATAGGTACAGATGTCAGACAGGGCTCCCCATAGTCTACCGAGATACCGCACACCAGACTGCCTGGGGTAGGTTTGTCCCGGTACCGAGGTGCCGAGGTGCCGAGGTGCCTGCACTGGGGG